CTCCGCAGCGTCCGGGAGCACGCGGCCCTGCACCGGGAGTACCACGGCAAAGGGGAGCGCTCGCCTGAGGAGGTGGCCGGCCTGGTGGGCTTCAGGTTGCCTCAGCAGCCGGGAGGGAAGGGTTAAGACGGTTGTGTTATGTTCCCTATTTATTTCTGAATAAATATCCTAGACTATGGAAACGGCCGGGGTTTTTCTTGCGGGTGTAGTGTGAAAGAACCATGACTGGGAATCTCTCTCTCCGTTTATCAGGCATACACACCCCTTCAATCTGAACGTGTGGTGTGACAGGCAACCTCCGCGGAACGAGAGGAAGGTTAGTTGTAGAGGAAAAAACATGACAGCTAAACTGCTTTGTCTAAGGAGTTGCAAGGGTTGTTGGTTCCCCCCTCAAAATCTGTAGGTAAAAGAATTTGTCTGTTCACTGTAGGGTTTTCCAGCCATGTTCTGTGGGTGGGGAATTTTCTCCTCTCGCAAGAGTGAAGGCCCTTTCTTTGGAATGTTAGTGGATTCTGGCAAGCACTGCAGTACTACAAACCTCTTTCATCTTGAAGATTTTTTTTTTTTCCATGGTGAGCTAGTGGTAACAATTCAAAGAGACAAATACTACTTAATGAATTACATGTTTCTCAGTGTCTCTGAGCGGTCGACTGTGCGACTGTAGGCTTCCTATGCTGTCTTACACACTGTGAATGTCAGAAAAACTAAAGTGAACCAATTACTGCCGGTTACACTAGATACACAAATCAGGCTGCCATTTTCTTGCTTGTCTTGCAATCTGGAACAACAAGTTTCTTTTTATAAGAAAAGAAATACTGGCTTGAATTGTTGCTGCCCTCAGAAGAGGGTTGAATTATATGCAAGATGGGTAAGAAATCTGTAAAAAGGATGACTTACAATGGCTAAAAATGTGAGACTTGTTTACATGGGGGAGGAGCTATAAGCAAGGATGACAAAAGAGTACTTGTTTTTTTTTTTTACTACCAGGGAAAACAAAGTATTCAGTCAGAAAAGCATTGCAAATAGAATTACTTCATCTAAATCTATACATTCTCCTTCCCCTGTATTTAAAACTCAGGGATAGTTTAATCCCCAAACTATAGTGGATAGGGACAGTAGATCCTTAAAACTGGAGAGATTTGGGCTACTTAGGTCAGGTAAGGAGATGTGAACTACAAATTTTAAGGTTCTGTAGACCAAAAATCCAGTTTGCAATGCTCGCAGTGCCTCTCTGGTCAAACAGTGATGGGTTTTTTTGGAAAAGTGTTGATATCACAAGTCACAAAGTGACCCCAACCAATCTATTTGCAGCTCAGTAGATTAAAGTTATGGGAAGTCACCATACCCTGAGAATGGCTGTGATGTATTTGTTGTTCTGAGTTATTTGATGCAGCTGCTGCATTCTGCAATTTACTTTCCAGATGGACATTCAAAGCCTGTAGTATATTGCTCCAGAAGAAAAATAAATGGCTCACTGAAACTGGTTCTGGGAGAAAAGCTGAAATTTGGTCAGAAATGGATGCTCTTTAAAGAGTACCTAGAGTACAACTTAAAGTTTGTATGGTGTGGGTACAAAAAATAGCTGAAGTTTCTCAATTTCCCCTAAACATACTAAGGTACTAAATAGAGAAAATTTTAACCAGTATATGTATCTCTTCCAGTTATGTCCCCTTCAATCCAAAGTAATGTAATGACTAACAAAAGTAAATTTATATGTTAAAAAAAAAAACAAAGCCGGGACCTGTTCTGAATAGCTGAGGGTAGGGAATCTTTCCTAAACGTGTTAAGGAAGACTCCTGTCTGAGCATTGCATCTTCACTGCAAGTCCTTGTCAAATCCAGATAATTGGGGGTGAGTTTTTTAATGGCTTTTTATGTTGCCTTTTCTCATTCGTATTAAGCTAACCTTAAAAGTTGAACGCGACCCTGGTTGTGGATAATTAGAATTGATCCTTGTGACAGTCATTGACGGCTTTTGGGCACTAGATGGCAACACGATGGTTAAGAAAGGGATAGTCACAAAATGCGGGCGTTAGGATAGATAGAAATTGTGAAAATACTCTTTTTGAGACTGGGTCTTGGTGCTCTGTAAGTTGAATTAACAGCAACTTCAGCTTTTAAGGGAGGTTCTCTAAAAAACGGGTATTACAGTAGCTTTTCTCACCAGTGCAACCGTAACTGCACTTGACAGAAGAATGGAGCCATTAAAATGGTGCTGAATGTCAGTCAAATAAAGGGAATTGTCTTTAAGAAGGGTATTCCGTCAGCGCCGGCTCAGACGTATGTACCCACTCAGGCCCGCTCCTACCGAGCCCAGACGCGTACGTGCACCGTCTTTCACCACTTGCCCCCGTCACTCGGTGAGCGCCCCAGCGAAGCGGAGACGCGCCTGTCCCGGAGACGAGTAAGCGGGACCCGGCTGCTGGGTTGTAAGAGACGTCCGTTACGTAGCCCAGGTTTCCCTCCTGCTCTGCGTTAATTTCAGCTCAGCCTCGTGCTTCGGCTCGTTAGAATCAACCGTCATGAAACCATTCCGGTTG